CATTTGTTTTGCGAGAATGTATTTTTATTAGTTCCCTGTTTCTGTATGTTTAATTTATTTCATCGTTCGATATACAGGGTGTCCGCGTTTTTTGTAGCAGGACTTTCACAACTTGTACTAAAAGTCCTTTAAAAAAAAAAGTTTAAGTAAACATATATGTATAGATGCGTCGTTTTCGATTTACAGTGTTCAAGTTTAAAATGAGAATTGATTTTTTATTTATAAAACGAAAACCCCTTTTTAGACTTTGTTGAAACTTGGCAACTTTGTTTGTAATAATACACATTTTCTCACATAATTTATTTTGTCCTATTTTCTCCAGTGGCGTCAAGATACCAGCTTGATAAAAATGGAAAAAAATATGGTACGCCACTGCTTTTTGGTAAGTTTAAAATTTTTCTGAGATTTAGCTATCAAAAATACAACTTTTTTGTTATTTACCTTTTTTTCCTATCTCGCTTTGTTTAGTAAGAAATAAAACATTTTCATGAATAAGTACGAGATTTGCTTAATTTATTTATTTAGTTGTTACAAAATGTGCCGTGAATATGTCTGTTTTTGAGTTGCCAAGGTATTGTAGCAATGGTTTGACGTTTGTTGACGTTCTTTAATTAAGTTCCTCTTCAACAACGAATAGACTCGTTTTTTCAATTAGATGGATGCCCTTCCCATTACTCTTTGGTGGTACGAAACTGGCTGAATATAGAGTATCCACAGAGATGGGTGGATCGTGGAGGTCCAGTTGGGTGGCCTCCGCGATCGCCTGATCTAACACCTTTAGATTTTTTTGTTTGGGGATTTATTAAGGATGCAGTTTACTCTACGCCTGTTAACTCGCAAGAGGAACTTGTACGACGAATCCAGAATGCTGCTCTCAGAATAACTCCACATCATTTGAGAGACGTTAGGTGGTCTTTGATACGTCGCTGTAATTTATGTGTAGAACGAAATGGCGGGCATTTCGAACAGCTCCTTTGAGGTCTATTTATACAATAAGTTGTTTTTCCATACCGTGTTGTTTATTTTTTTTATTATCACAAAATGTGTGAAACAAAAAGTTTTATTTCTGTCTAAACAAAGTGAGATAGGAAAATAAAGTAAATAACAAAAAAGTTGTATTTTTGATAGCTAAATCTGAGAAAAATTTCAAACTTACCAAAAAGCAGTGGCGTACCATATTTTTTTCTATTTTTATCAAACTGGTATCTTGTTGTGACGCCACTGGAGAAAATAGGACAAATTAAATTATGTGAGAAAATGAGTATTATTATTACAAACAAAGTTGCCAAGTTTCAACAAAGTTTAAAAAGGGGTTTTTGTTTTATAAATAAAAAATCAATTCTCATTTTAAACTTGAACACTCTGTAAATCGAAAACGACGCATCTATACACATATGTTTACATGAACTTTTTTTTAAAGGACCTTTAGTACAAGTTGTGAAAGTCCTGCTACAAAAAACGCGGACACCCTGTATATAAAAAAATTCAGTTTATATTTAATTTAGGTAGGTTAAGTTGAAATGTCTAATAAAATTTTCATTGATGTCAATATTTAGAGGAGTAAAACCACATAAGGAAGAGCGAGATATGCCTTAAATTAATTGATTAATTATTTTGAAGCATATCTGACTTTTTTTATGAGAAAATTGCGATTTTATTCTGAAAACATTGAAATTCCCAATAATCATTTAGTTGAACTATCAACATTTCATTTTGAATAACTGGATATTCTGCTTTCAAATAGGTATATCTGAAAAATATATTTTTTAATCTACTAATAGATATCAACATTTTCTTATTTTCATTTTTCTTAAACTTGCAGCATACCTTTGTGAAACATAAAAAAACAGATGATTGCATATATCAGTTGATTATGCAAATAAATAGTAGGTACTTTGCACACATCAGAGTGTCACACCGTGAATTGTGTCGATTGATATCTAGGAATGTACTGCTCTGAAAAATTTGAAAATTTGACAACATGGCAGTGTCCCTAGAGTAAACACAACTAAAACATCTAGAACTCTACAGCACATCTGGTTATACCGGAAGTCGACTCCAACTTTGTTATTTTAAATGGTACACCCTATATATTATTGCATTTTCGGATTCTACGTTAAATTTGAGGGTCACTTTTAAAGAAAAAATTTGGCAGATGCAAGGGTCCGCGGAGATGTTAGTAACTCTTTTCAGGAGCGTGATGTCAAGTGGTACCTGTAAAGGGCATAGGTAACACTACATTATTGTATACCAACAAATTAAAACATTTAATATCAGGTGTTTCATTTTTGTTGTTACATTTTGATAACTTCAAAGAGCTGCAACTTTGTTAACTTAAATGGAAGGCCTTATATTTTTTTTATTCCAAAAAACAATGCTTATACAGGGGTCGGCATAAGTCAGGCAACCAATTTGCATTAAGAGCATTAATTTTCATTCTGAAAACGCGTCTACTCGACGAGCACGTGTTATCATATTCATGACATAGACACAACTGTCTGAAGCACGAACATGCTTCATTTTAATCTTTTTCGACAGCGTTGCCAGACTTATGAGCATTGCCGGACTTATGCCGATTTTTCCAGAGCGTTGCCTGACTTATGCCGACCCCTGTATGGCTAGAAAGGAAATTTCAATCTGCATACGACAGAATAAAAAAAATTCAATGCAATTTCAAAATTTCAAAGTTATCAAAATGTAACGACAAAAATGAAACACCTAGTATTAAATGTATTAATTTGTTGGTATACAATAATGTAGTGTTACTTATGCCCTTTAGAGGTACCAAAAATCCATTTGACATCACGCTCCTGAAAAGAGTTACTAGCATCTCCGCGGACCCTTGCATCTGTCAAATTTTTTCTTTAAAAATTAATATCTCAAAATCTATAACTCCTATGTATAGGAAATATTTAATAAAGTGACCCTCAAGTTTAGAGTAGAATCCGACAGTGCAATAATATATAGGGTGTCCCATTTAATATAACGAAGTTGGTGTCGACTTCCGGTATAACTGGAAGTGCTGGAGATTTCTAAATATTTTAGTTGTGTTCACCACAGCGAAATTGCCATGTTGTCTTTCAAATTTTTCAGAGCAGTACTTTCCCAGATATCGATCGACGCAGTTCCTGGTGGGACACCCTGTATATGTAACACCTTTCAAGATCTTAGGAATAGCAACCCCTATTATAATTTTTTATTTGTAAATTTGGTTCAAGATCAAAATGTGGAATTAAAAATCATCTCTTAATTGAGATAATGAGTTCCATGCTTCATTATTAAAATATAACCACTTAATTTTCACCAATTATCATGTCATAAAAGTCTATGTTAGATTTATAGCTTTCCATTTTAAGCCCATTTACCACTTGCTTTGGTATCATGCACCCTCTAAATGTTAAGGTAAGATAGAATGACTGATCTCTTAATTTGAACTATTTCAATTTCCAAAATTCTTGTCAGTAAAATATAAAATTAAAAACATCAGGAAAAATTTTACTACTTTTATGAGTATACATTCCAATCTAATACGATATTTAAAAAAAATGTATGCATTGTATGTTAATAAGCACTCAGTGAAACCTTAATTCCATTAAATATAAAATATCATTGTTAATCGATTAATAATTATACATTGGCAAATGTTTCAAATAAATATTATTTATTAGAAAATATTAGCAGATCACTTATTGATGATGTTTTCACATATAATTTGTTAGGACAAAATGTGATACATTTTAATGTTTTCAAACAATACATCATCAACTGATGCAATGTAAAAAAATGCTACATATCTAACCCATCATTAGGTTAGTTATTTGAAGCACAAATATACCTCAATAAAAAACATTAAGTAATTCTTTCAATGGAGCTTCTACAGTTTTTTAAAAAGTTAACTACATATGTTATTTTTAGCTACATTACTACAGCGCATCATAAACATATCCAGCTAAATTAATATCGATTCAGGCCTGCAGACACTGTTCTTCCCACACATATACAAGAAATCACACAGATGCAATAAATAGAATTCAAAATTAAATCAACTGTGGCACGAAAAACAAAAATTTTCATATTTTTTAATATGGCTTTGATTCATTTCAGAGTACTTTTTATATCCACTACAAGAATTATGCTAATTAGTATGAGGAATTTAGTTGTTTTATAATAAGTCAATGATGGTGTCATTGACGATTTTTGTTTTGTTTTACAAGTAACGGCAGAGTTAATAAATACAGAACATACAGCTGTGGACAATAAAAAGTTTCTAACCTGGACAATTAAACTCTTTTTTTGTCCATTCATTAGAAGTTATTTTGCTAAACTGCTGACTCGTATAACTGCTGTAAAAGTATCAAAATATTTATTTAAGAAAATTAGTTTAATTGAAAATTATATGTATAAATATTGGAATTTAAAAACGTTTAAGTATAACTATTTTCCTTCAATAATTATATATAAAAACATCTAGTTTTCTTTATGTTCTCTAAAGCATAAAAAATAAATAAATTATGAAGTAGACTGAAATAAAAGAAGAAAATGGCATTATGGACAGCAAATAAAAATAAATTACCCATACTAATTTTGAAGAGATGATTTAATTTACACGCTCTCTATATTTTACTGCTTTTTGATGTCTTTTCTTGTAAAGGTCAAAGTACTGAAATATAAGCCTGAATTGCATGCTTTTTATCAGAATTAGGGAATAAAATAGAGACCTTCAATAGACCATATTAGATTATCAATTTGCTTAGCAGTAGCAATTTTAAACTTAAAGTGAATTAAAGGCAAAAAATTATTATCACTTTTATCTATATTTACTTCGAATTGATTAGTTATATATTATACTAATATGATCTATAGTTAGAAAAACTATAATGTATATTTTTGATTTTCTTAAATACTGTTGTTTAAAAAGTTATTAAAATACGTTATTACAAGGCAATTAATAGTTTTATTAGTGTGTTATAAAATAAATATGAAGTAAAATTATAACATACCTCATCAACTCCAATCTTCCGACATGCCTCTAGAAAGTTGTCCACATTTCTACGACACCTTGCCATTGTCAATTTAGGCTACAAAAATGAGATAAGATGGATTTTACAACAATCAATCAATCACAACAAAGCTCTATACTTACAACCGCAGGAGAAGGAACATGTATACTTGCTACAGACCTAGGCCTAATGTGGTTTGCCAAATGACACAATACCACCCCATCTGTCAAAGCGGGGGCCAAATCTTCTGGAAGGGCCATTTTTAACCTTGTTTCGATAATCTACAAAATATTGTGAGTTTTAACAAGGAACCTTTGAAGTAACATAACATTTTTATTGATTTCCCGGCATCTGCCATACTGTGTAGAAAATCTATTAACCTTTAGAGGGTCGGCATTTTTCCCTTGAAGTTCGATATTTTTTAGAGGTATGATTTATGTATATAAAAGTCAACACGTTCAGTGAAGTTTCTGAGTTACCTTCAAAAGGAGCCAAGCCGACCCAGCACAGTACGGTATAAAATTTGAATTTTTTTATGGAATGTAAGGTAAAAAAACTCTATCTAATTGTGATAATGCTGTTTTTTATTAATGCAATACTCGCCCAACTAGTACTCGTCTGAAGATGTATCGAATTTGATGAAACTTGGTGACAAGACATTTTAAGGGGAATGAGAATACGTAATCTGTTTTTTGGAAAAAAAAAATCATAAATACCAATTAGCTCTTTTGACGTCAAAAAAACGGGTCCTAGTCGGCCGTGTATTGCATTAATACAAACAGTAGCATTGCGGTTAGATAGAATTTTTTTTATCTTACATTCTAAAAAAAATATCAAAAAAAACAAAGAAGCTACAGGCTTGTATCACATTTAAGCGCGACACCCTGTATGTCAAAACGAAATCTATAAATTAATGTATGAAGTAGTGTAATATTTACATATAAATGTATGATTGTGATTAAACTATTAAGAAACATTGGGAATACTTATAATGCAATTAAAAAAATAAACTTAATAAACTACAACCCAAGTTACACAATTTTTATGCATATTATGTATAGAAGGTCTAAATTTTGGCATAATTTTTAGCGCAAGGATAACGCATTTTTTATGAATAGGTTTACATGGGAGAAAACTGCTTAGACCGAGTAACACCTTACTTCTCTTTCATGAATTCGGCTGTGTGTCACTGGACAAACTGCTTTTAAATTGCAAATTATGTACGGTTATTACTATTTTCCTTCAATTTCCAATAAAATTTTAATGTGTCATCATAGCATCTTGCAAATGCACACACAACTGAGTTCATGTTAACCCACATCATATGGCATTAACTGTTTTAATTGGAAAGAATATTTTGGATACGCATCTAAAGCGACATATCAGTGTAAAAAAAAATTCCTTCAACATATGGAACAAAATAATTGTTTTTTATTTTTTAAAGTCAATCATCAAAAACAGTATATCTGTTTTGTGTCAATATTTTGGTAATTTTAACAGGAATTTCATGTTATATTCGAAATAACTACAGTTCCGCACAGTATGGCAGCGTTTTAGCCACAGTCATTTTCTGTTTCCCCAATCTAAATGTATCAGCTATGGTTATTTGGTTTAATTTGAGAAATATACTTACACTCCTTAACTGATTGATGAGATCAGTTTCTTCTCTAGCTTTGTCGATTTCTCTCCTCATCGTAAAACTCATCTTCTCAGTTGGCACGTCATGGTTCCAGCTAATATTTCTTGACGTCTTGGTACAGCTAGCAGATTTAGATGTAACGTTCGACCCATTTAAGAATCCGCTAGGTGTACTTCGGGGACTTGTGTTCTTACCATTTACAATCACAGTGTTACTTGGAGGCACATTATCATGAGACATAATTCCTGTGGAAGTCTTTAATGGCGACTTTGGTTTAACGTAATCCATAATTCTGGAAGTTCCATTTTTGCTTTCTACATTACCGTTTACATGTGTGTTATGGATGGGTGAATATGTTCTGGAAGGGGTGACTTTCTGTATCGGTTTTTTAGGGCTAGTGTCATCGAATATTTGCTTAGGGTTACTAAAAGCAGAGTTAAGCGGCGTAGGATCAGATTTAGAAGTAGCTAAAGTTTGAGCGGGTGATGGATGATGGGTGGGGGTATTTGGTTCTGTTTTATAACTTTGGTCGTCACTATCTTTTGTTCGATATATAGAAGGCACGTCTTGTGCTCTTTGTTGTTTTAAGGCTTCTTTATACTCCCTAAAAAGACCATCGTGTTACCATCAAATATTTAATACAGCAAATAATTTTGGTGCATGCAGTGTATCAAACAAAAAATATAAAATAAATGTTACGAAATTACTTGCAATAACCGTTTTTTTTTTTAATTTTCTTAAACACTGTTAATATCAGAACTGTTAAATCCAGTACACCATAAGTATTGGTTAAGGAGGAAAATCCGAGTAGAAAAAATTTCTCTGAAAATTTTTTGTTTAGTTCATTTTAAAGTTTGTAGGCTTAAGAATATTATGTGTACATTTTATAATCAAATGCCAATAATTGTGGACGTTATTGGCAATTTACCAGAATGCATTAGGCATCAAGGTAGGAAGAAACGCTGATCAGCAAGATTGAAGATGCACAACCCGTGCGTACCGCCAAAGTGAAAACTCACAATGTGACCTGTGAAGGCAGGAAAAAAAAGCTTTCTCAATATTACATATTACACAATTATTATTATTTTACAAAATCGATTTTTAAAACAAAATTCTGCAAGTTTGAAATATGAAGAATATCGTGTGTAAAACATTATCTTGATATTCCAAGAACTGTAGATTATGGTTGACATACTGAGAAGCTGACGAGTGTGTCAATTCTTTGCTAAACTTCATATGCGTTTATCTCGAAACATACTATTCAAAGACGATTCCCAAAATATTCAGAAAACAGCTAGACCCATCGCTTCAAAAATTTGACAATATTTTCGAACATATTTTCTATTTCAGATAGGATTTTTTTCACTTAAATGTTTTTTTTATAAGCCAGAAAGGTCGGATTTTGACATTGAAAAATTAAAGCAAAATTCAATCGGCCATTTGGAGGAATTTTTTTTTTGTTTTAAATCCTATATGCGAAGGGTATTTTACATTACATTTTAAGAATCTCTATGAAATTTTTATTTGAAATTAACCGATTGCATGTAATCTTGGGAACTGCAGACTGTGCGAGCAAGTGACATTTTTTACGCCGGCCATAACAGCAGCGCTTCCAGTTGATATATATTTATAAAGAAATTTGTCAGCATACCCCAACATGTATACTTTCGAATAAAACAAACTTGGATAAAATCAAACATATAGTTTTTGAGATAATAATTCCTAAAATTATTTTTTTCCGATATCTACTCGAACGTTCTTCCTTATATTTTAAACTTGATTTATGATTATAACTATTGATTGTTTATAATATTGGACTTTAAATAAATTAGAATGGTCTCCAAATACAGCACAGTTTTATGAAATTTTTTTCAGTAACTAAAAAGTAACTATATCGTTAATAAATTGTATCACAAAAGGGAGAAACCTTTGTGGCTCCATACTAACAATAAATACTTGAAAAATCTTTATTATGTAATATCGACACAAATACAAAAATTACTGAAAATATTTCAGATTGTACCTAAAGTTTACTATGAAGAAGTTGACATTAAATGTGAATAGATTTAGAATAAATTTATATGTATTATTAATGTTAAGCAGTATCAAAAAGCAAAGTAGAAAACGGATAATTAAGACTGCTGACTCTTTCAAACTGACTTTATATAACTGTTTTTATTCAATATTCTTTAAATCATGAGTAATTAATTTAAAAAATGTAAATGGAAATATGGCAAAGCAGAAAAAAAAAAAGAAGATTGCAAATAAATCCCTAATAATGAAACTATGATATGGTAAAACAAAAAATAACTGGATTACCTGTAGGTTTGAATTTGGTGCAAAGGTTTTTTGTCTTCAATTCCATTACTGTTAGACAACATATCAGTACACGGACTTAGACGAACACTGTAAAATCACACCAGGCAGTTAGAAAAAATTAATATATATTAGACAGAAACGCTAATAAAAAAAAACAAAACGGTTTAATATTTATTTTAGTATAATCCTTAAAAAATTAGTACTAATTTACCCTACTTGACAAATTGATAATTCGCTATGGTAGGACAAAAATTGAATATAAAATCTAATATGTATATAAAACTTCTAAATATATTTTCGACCGTCTTGATGAAAAACCTAGAAAAACACTATGATTCACTATAAAATAATTCAGTATCTAATCAAAAAAAGTTTCCGTAAATATAATGCATCAACATACCTAGGATATTCCTTAATATTTTTCTGTCCGTCGTTTTTATCATAATCAGAGCTATTACTTATTTTTGGGGAATCTTCTTCTGGACCAGTATCTGGAGCAGGAGAAATTGTAGAAGGTGTGGATAAAGTGGAATGGGTTCCATTTTGTTCTACTGATCTAACTGAAATAGGAGTAGATGACCATTGTTGCCTTTCATCGCCTGTATATCAAAACATTGATATATAATATCAAAGTGCAAATAATGTAATAACGTTCGTACCTACAATCTCCTGTGACCAACGTTTCTCGTAACAATCACTGCTTGTACTGTAGCCACTGTCGACATTCTGCCTCTTCTGTTTCAGTCTATCGGCCAAATGAGGAGGACCAGGTGATGAACCTGCACCGCTTCTCCTCGACCTCCTACTAAGTGTGCCCATTCCTCCCCCAGTCTTCCTTTCAAGCTTTGCAGCTTCAGTTTCCAAAAATTTACAAATATGCACTCTACCACGTTTGCATAACTGAAAAAACATTAAAATTCTGACACAGCATATGCATGGTATAAGTATTACATGTTCTATACTAACAAAATCTGGAAAAACAAGTATAGAAGTCTTTTGCAATATAGGTCTTAAGTAGAGATGGGACGTGAAAATATTCTCCTGAGAACATTCTCGGAAAACGGAAACTTTCCGAGAAAATTTTCTGTCCTTAAATTCTCCAAGAATTTAAGAGAATTTATGAAGTGCCATCTAGTATGTACTAGCACAATCATGGTGTAACTAACTACAGAAGTACAGAACACGTATTTTATAACACTAAAACAATGAGCGCGCTTGTTTTATGGACAAACATATCCAAAAAATCCGTGTAAATCAGCGGACTTGTTCAGCTACTTTCCTTCCACGTGTCTACATCTACTAGTCATCATGAAGAAAAAAAGTGAGGTCTGGAAGCACTATGATTATGACGCCAAATAGGGGAAATTCAAGTGCAAATATTGCGGTGATTTATACTTTAAAAATGCAACACGACAAATGAGACACTTCCTTAATTGCACAAGTTGCCCGGTACAAAACAAATTGCACTTTTCTAAAGCTGAAGGATGTGTTAAAGATAGGTTTTCTTTTATTACTGCTTGTAATTCTGCTCTGCTTTTGCCTGCGAGTCAGCCTGTCGCCTGCCTATTGCTTATAATCTAGAAAATTTTAAATAAATAACCTGAGAACTTGATTCGCAATTGATGCAAATTAACATGATATAATAGGTTGAAACTCCGATAAATATAAAGCATTTCGATTTTCAATCAATTTTTAACATTTAAAAATAAAAATCATTCAGTGTAAAGCTTAATAATTAAAAATTATTATAAGTAAAACGTTTTATGAACATCCATATATAATTTTTATTTTTTTTTATACTTCTGTTTAAATTTTCTCGTTCTCTTAAATTCTCTTAAATTTCTGGAGAATATTTTACGATTATACATACGTTTTAAAGTTAGAACCCAAAATGTAAATATCTATGACTTTGGGGCTCAACATTTCAGCCTCCTTCTTACTACAAGAAATTGGTAGATACTTACTAGATATTCTGTATATTTATCTTATTTACTTGTATAGTGTTAATATTTCTTTAATTATTTTTGTAATGTTTCCACTTTAATTTAATTTATTTATTTATTAACTTTATAAAAATCAAGACAATAAAACAAACTAAGCTGGAATAAACAAATACTTAAATGGTACTTCAAGGTAACTGATGTTATGTCAAGGTATGTAAAGTAATTGTGACCATATTAAATAATCTATTTATTAATTATCTGATATATGTTTTCATATGTACACTGTGCTTTTTTAATGGAATGCTTCCTTTAACTTATATATGAATTTGTGTTTTCAATATTCTCATTAAGGCAGAAATAAAACAAGCATTAGCTTTTTAAATGTTTTAGTAAATTTTTTACAAGAATAACAAAAAAATCTTCATCAAGATTGGATAATAGTAAAAAATAACATCTTCTACAAACTGTCTTAATTTAAATAGTGGAATAGCAGATTACATAACAAATACAAATAATGACAGTAGTAAATTCAAATAAACCTCAGATTTCTAGGAGTATTTATACGAATCAAAGAAAATTCAATACAGAAAATAAATACACTTCTAAATTTACTAAAAAATATGAAGTGGCATTCAAAATGTGTGTGTACCTACTTATTATATAGATAAAGTATATTAAATAAAAAAAATTGGTTAACAAAAAGTATTAGAATTAAAATGTACAAATAATAAAAAAAATTTACTGTGAAATGTGAAATAGCAAATATCTTGTTCTACTGACAAATCCTCAGGAACTGTTTATGAATTTCAGAATCACAAAATCAATTGTGTGTTTATTGTTATTATAGTTACTACAGAAACACAGATCTAATGTGTAAACTTCAATAACCTGTCATAAATTTCGCACATTTTTTTTTCACAATAAACAAACATCGAAAAATAGTAAAACACTTATTAAATATTTTAAATCTTAAAAAAAAGGGTGAATGACATTCTCTGTCACTGAATATGTTATCTAAATAAACTAAATATTTGACTTACACTGGCCGGTGGACTACTAAGGGGGTTGTCTTCGACTAGCAAGTCTATAAGGCTCGTCATGTCTCGCATCTCTATTGGAAGCGTGCTAATCCTATTGGCCCTAAGGTCCAGCCTTATAAGCTTCAAATAGGTAAGTTCAACTGGCACAGCTAACAATAGGTTGTTTCGAAGGACTAACGACTGTAGCGATTTTAAATCACCTAGTCTTGGAGGTAAGTGAGTTAGTTGATTGCATGAAGCGTCCAATTCTGTTAACTGGGACATTCGATTCAATTCGTCAGGTAAGCATGACAGTCTGTTGTTCGATACCAGTAAAATCTGAAATTTGGAATTAACACAAAAATGATATATTGATATGTATATGAATTTAAAATCAGTATATTCTTTCATTTGATTCACTATAAATATTTTTATTGTTACTATACGGGGTGTTTCTAAAACATGGTACCTCACTGAAACGGGAGATAAGAAATGTTATTTTAAGTAAAAAATTTCCTATGGACTGTCGTGCATTTACTATAAATACTGACATTGAAGTATGGCTCCAACTAACTAATCACTAAAAGATTTCGTTCTAAGGCCTTTTTAAGTATTCGTTAACACTGGCAATTTTTATTGGGGACATAATCATAATTGAAATTTCGTAAATCTGTAAACCGACGGGAAGCGAAATCGGGCAGTTGTCAACGTTGATTATCTGAGGTGGTCCATTGTTGCAAGCTCGGCTAGGTGACCCCGGCCCAACCCGATGTTAAATTTGCTAAAAGGAATGAGGAACTGGGCACATATGCTAGTTTGGGACATTTTGAAATAACAGAAGAGCTATTGAACACCGCAGCCCAGATCGAAGGGACCGATGGTTGAACCACCTCGGTAAAGTCGTAATGATGCAGGTGGGACACGTCCAGATGAAAAAACGATGTAGAGGACTGAAAAATGTGGAACTGACAACAGAAATGGATATGATAGAGAGGTAACAAAGTAGCTCCAGAAAGAACAGATGACCAACGTAAAAGCGACAGTAGCGGCAAGAAGCACAAAGTCATTGAATACCATCGTGGGAACAGCTGAAACTTGTACTTGTGGATTCGAGGCAGGAAGATTTAAGTTCTTGTGGATAAGTCCATTCTGGCTACTGGAGTAGACAGCAAAAGTGTGAATTGAGAATCCATGTAGTGACTTGCTGAGGAATGACATAAGGAAAAGTGTACATCGGAAGCACCGCATCGACGACCGTCGATACAATGGAAAGGAAGGAACTACGCCTATACGACAAGGGACGCAGCCATCACGAAGAGAAAAAGGTACAAAAAACATGCACGTCGAACAATATTATTCACCAATATGCCATCAACGAGCAAATCCCGTCGAATGGCGCATACAAGACTTATGTATAAGAAGAACAGCTCGTTGCTGGAATGAACACATCGACGAAGTTCTATTTACGCTACGAACGAGGACCAACGCAACGATGCGACAGGAGAGTGTCTCACTGCGATTGTTCTCGAAGTTCTATGTCCACGACTCTAGTGTCAGCTCCAGATTGCTCCGTAGAAGCTTATCAAGAAAGGATATAAAAGTGAAAAATAAATATGCTTACATCTCGGACAAAGTTTTCCGAGCCGAGAGATGCACAAATGGAATTGGGAGGTGGAACAAAGACAAGGTGCTTTCCCTTCCAGGCGATGTGGAGAGTACCATAATATAGGGCAATCGGACGAATGGGAAATACATACAACGACTTACATCCTATGCCTCAGAAGCTCGATGATCAAGAATAAGACAAACACTCGGATACGTCTGATTCATCGAGGTAACGTCATATGATACGATACGAGGATTTTTGCCCAAGGCATTGGTAGAAGAACATAAAGTACAGCTAACGTGGGATCTCCGTGCTTCTTTTTTTTTTTAAGTATTTTAATACATTCAGCTAGGTTAGTTTTTGTGAAACTTTCAAATTTGATTTGTTTCAGAACTTGTTTTGTGATCTATATCAACTTGGACATTGAGCGACCAGAACGTCAGCTGGACAGAGCCACTGCTCAGACGACAGTGGGTTGACAACCGCAGAATACAAGATCGTAGTAGTTTAACCTGTCTTTTTTTTTTCAAGATTGCTTCCTCGACGGTTTCTGCTGGTTCTTCCCTTCCGACAGTAATTGAATTAGCGGATTTTTTATAAAGAAAGAAAAAAGAAAACAGAAAGGAAAAAACGAAGCCTAACAGCCGATTCAACCTGGTGTATAATACGAGGGAGGTAATGGTTATTGAATTTTGTCTGCGAAGTTACGCTCACAGGAAGATTTAACGGTCGCGCGCGCAAAATTTATTATAAATACCGCCGAAATATCACTTGTCGTAACGAAAGGTTTTGGCTCTGTCGATATCAAGAAACACAAGGTGATCTGTTGTTGAGGTACGACTCCAACAAATTGATCACTAAACAAATTTGTAATTACTGTAATTTTCATTACATTTGAATATTGTATATTCAACTTGGGCAACATAGCTAAAATAATCAGAATTGTGATCGCGTAAATCGGTAAACCGCCGCGACGGGAAGCGCAATCGGAAAGTCGTCAATGTTGATCGTTTGAGGTGGTTCCTGGTCGCAAGCTCGGTTAGCAGACTCCTCAAGAATATTTGTATTATCCGTTAATTGGCAAGAAGACAGATCATGGGTCCGAAAACAGTTAGTAAGTTACAAAATATTTTTTTAATTAGTTCCGAAATGAACAATAATCTTATGCAGAAAATTTTCCTACATTCATAGCGGAGGAGACGCACGATGTAGTTAAGTCTTTTATCTAAAAACAATGTCTGTTCTATTCTCCAAAATCTATGTAAAAAATGTGTTTTGTATATCACCCAATAACATTTTTCTATGCATTTTTGAACTCATGTTCACGGGAACTCTTTGCTTAAACTGACTTGTTATATTCTATCTCATTGTCAGTTTTGCACCAGAAACACCTTGTATAGCTGATAGTTATTATTGCTTGAACATCGTTAAATATTACACATTCCAGGACCTTTTTTAAATTAGATATAAACAATGACGATACATATTTTACAATAAAAAATATAACATTTCTAAACACTCGATAAATATATTGAATACAATAATATGATTTCATAGAAATAGAACTTCATATCGAAACAATTAACTGATAGTAATGGAAAAAAACATTAAAAACTTATATACGCTTATCTGCTTAACGACTACATATTTATATGATGCAAGGCAAATTATCACTATCGATACTGAATGGTTAATAAAGTTGTTCTCTTTCATAGATTCTCCTTTACTTCTATGTAACAAGTTATATTGAGTATTAGAGAGGAAACATGAATAATTTACAAATGTGTCAGGGTCATTTCGACATGTGTGGGATTTTAAGTGGTAAGTACTGATGTGGGAAAGACAAGACCACATACAAACAAGAAGAAATGGAAGTGCAACTATTGTAATAAATTGTCCCATTTAAATTAATAATAGTGACAAAAAATGAATAAAATAAAATGTTGCACAATCGTATTATAAACAGGAAGATATTGTTTGAACGTATTATTCAGCAACTGATATAGAAAATTATTTCAGATCCATAGACGGTCATAAATGAACATTAAATTAACAATAAATTATATTTTTTCTAATTTGGAATTAGACTAGTATCTAATGGGTGTTCCAAAATTAACGCAAAAATTAATTTTGATAGAAAAAACAGTTTTTTTAATTAAAAATTGTAATTTTTTATTGATTCATAAAGTATACATTATAGGGTTATGTAGGAAATGGCAAATCGGGTAAATGGCCTCCACGGCTTTCATGACACATACGTACTTTTTTGTCGAAATTTTCTATAACCGTTATGCAGACAGAATTTCGTTGCTATAGTGCTCAATGTCCTCTTTCAAGGCGCGGGTGGTCGTGAGCTTGTTAGCATAAACCTTAGACTTTAAAAAAAACCCAAAGAAAAAAGTCCTACGGTGTTAAATCGCATGATTAGGGCGGCCAATTCTGATCACCAAAACGGAAAGTTACGCGAAAAAGAAATGACTCGTTCATGCAGTAATTGAATTGTTTCTCGGGCTGTATGGTATGGGCACCGGTCTTGTTGAAATCACATGTCGTCTACATCTATATCTTGCAATTTAGATACAAAAAACAGGATTATCATGTCACGATAGCGAACACCAATAACTGTTACTGCCTGATCAGCCGTATTTTCGAAAAAAAATATTCCGATGATATATCCAGCCCGAAATCCGTACCAAACAGTGACATGTTGTGGATGCATTTGTTTCTCAACAATCACCTGTGAATTTTCTGAACCCCAAATGAGACAATTTCGCCGACTAATGAAGTAATCAAAATGAAAATGAGCCTCATCGCTGAAAATCGCTATAGTTCTTGAGTCAATTTAAGTTTGTAAGCAAGAAGACACAAACCTTTCGTGAGAATACGCTGTGGAGAGCTTTTCAAAATGCCCAATGCTTGACCACAGTGCCGAATTTACGTTTCGTGATTCTCGGCAACACTCTCATGAACTGTTTCGATGTTTTGTGTTTAACGACTTGTTGAAGGACATTCAGAGTGTTTAAAAGATTCCTAATTGATCCAGTCTTCCTGAATTTTTCAATTAAGTTCCTCACAATTGATGAAGTTAAATCACTATTCCGACCATAGTTTGTACGAAAATTGCGAATTGTAGTTGCCATTACTTTTAAAATCATTACAACTATGAAAACCCGTTGTTCTTTCCATTCTAATAATCCTGAACTGTCAGCTGTCACGTTGTATTTTTTTTCGTTGGCAACACTTTACCGCACAAATGGCACAAAATTCAAATAAGTATTCCGTGAATTTTGGGACATTTTACGAAAGTCAAAGCCTACCGAGGTGGTATCGTTTTTTCGTTTAAAACTTCTTACTTGGTACACATCTTTATTTATTTAAGTATNCTCTGAAACCATACTGCTGATCTGAAATCAATTTATATTTTTCCAAGAATTTTAATATTCGCTTTTTTATAATTTTTTCAAAAATCTTAGCTATATTAGAGATTAAAGACACAGGTCTATAATTAATGACGTCCATTTTGTCTCCACCTTTAAATAGAGGTTTGATAATGCCAATTTTTAGTATGTTTGGAAAACAACCAGCTTCAAAACAACTATTTATTATAAAAGTTAATGGAACAGCAATTTCATCTGATATTTGCTTTAATGTTTCTGCGCGAATTCCATCATGACAAGTATAATATTATATTCTTCAAATGACATACATTATGATATTTTTTGGATGCCCACACCTTTGACCACCCCATAACTTTATTATACGCACCCCTATGGCTATCTTTATAAAGATTTTTTGTTTCTCGTAAAATTTAAATATTTGATATAAATAAAATAAAACAGCAATTCATCTCACCTGTATGGGAAGCTGGCATATTTCTCTTGGAAGGTTGGTTAGTTGATTTCTGCTTAAATCTATAAAACTTAGGCATTGTAGGGTGCTTACTGTGTCGGGGATAAACCGAATTGCATTGTGATAGCAGTGAAGCTTCTCTAAAAAATGAAAACCTGTCACCTCTTCGGGCAGTTCGCTAAACCGATTCTTTGACAAATCTGAAAATAAAAAAAAAATATCAATTCCTTTTCAGTTATAGCATTTTATACATATTTAAATACAGACAATTGTGAACAAAAAAATTAGGTAGTTAACCTTTTAAAAAATTCAATATTGACTAAAATAGGTAGGTACATAACTTTTTTAGTCTGCAATTCTCTTCAAATTTGTCCCACTTATTATTGGCAACAAAATGCATTGCAAATACAATAAAGAACATTAAAATTTAGAAAGCCCAAAAGATCCTTATTGACTAGAACGTTTCTCTTTGTTTTTGTTATTATCAAATAATTTTGAGAATTTTAACTATTACCAAAGACGTTTAAAGTATATTAATGAATCTGAAGATTTACTTAAACCACAGATTACCTACACGGTAATCTGTGACAAAACATTCTCTGAGTATAAATAATTATACAAACCAGTGCCAGTGGCGGAGATACTATGAGGCAATGTCATTAAGAACCTCATAATTCGAAGTAATTTAGTATTTTGCTAGTTCAATAAGTTCATTAAATTATTATAATTCAAAGAAAAAAAATCCCATTTCTTCCATTTTATTTGAAAAACGAACTACTGTAAGAGTTATTTTTTTGTCTCTTTCATATACTTAATTATTGCATACAAATTCATTTTTTCATTTATTTAATTAAGTCGTCTTCATAATTTTTGTTAATCTACGTTATCTTTCAGATATTTGCATACCTATATGTCATGAAAAAACGAAAAACTTGAAAACCTTGTGACTTTAATTTCGCAGATAATTTGGTCTTAAGATTATTTGACAGCATTTGCAAAAATTCAAACAAATAAGATACCCTAAAAGTAAAAAATAACAAAGATGGACAGCCAAATATAATATACAGGGTGATTCAGTCATTATGTCATTAATTTTAAGGGAAGATAGGGAAAAATGAGTAGAACACGAATAGGCGATTAAAAAAAAATTTAAAATTGATATTTATGGTGAAAAAATATTTTCAAAAAGCTCACTGAAAAAAGCAGACGAACAGAAATGAAATAAAATCCACGTCACTATATCATCGCTTCAATTATAGGCAACGTTTCGAAAAATCGAACTGTATCAGCAACCTATACTAAGTAATATTTTTATTGAAGGAAACTATAAAAAATTTACCAAGCATTTGATGGAAATATGTATTTTTGAAATTTTACCATTAAAGAATTAAATATTTTGTAGATACTGGTAATAAGGAATCAATAATTAAATTTACTTTAGAAATAGAAAATAATACATTTTTATATATATATTTTAATTTAAAAAAATGTAACTTAATAATCTAATATTGATTCTTATATGTATCACATTACTACCCCTGGCCCAAAGTTCTCTCATTGTCAGCCACAAGGTCCCATTCCATAGGAATTTTCGTTGAAAAATATTTCCAGTTTCCGGATAAAATATGGAGAATATAATATATTAATAATAATGTTACAGTCAAAATAATAAACATTTCTCTGATTTATAAAAGTATATTCATCACGTCACAATATATATAATTATGCATATATTTGAATTTAATTAATACGTAAGCCTGTTCTACTGACACCCTATAATCAATCTTGGTGAATTGTATACATCAGCCGGTCATATTTTTAGTTTATGATAAATTGCAAACTTCCTCAGACATACTAAAATGGAAATAGAAGCTAAAAACACGTGCTAAAATTATAACTGCAGCCAGGAGCGCACGTATACGTTTTCAGAATGACCCAATACATGTGAATGTAAATTAATAGGTACGATGCAACCATTCAAACACGAAATTATTGTGTTCAATAATTTCCATTAAATGTTTTTTGCAATAGCTTTCGAACATTGTAAATTATTGTTTGTATCTGCTTCCAAGTTATGAATACGTTACACGTTTCAATAATTTTATACTTTTGAAACTAGAAGATATTCGATTTATCAAAACCTTTACCCTTACTATGATACAGGGCTGGTTTAAAATGGTGTAACAAATTACGAACTGATATGATAAAATGATATGTCTGTATGTTTTAATAATGTTCATACGTAATTTTATACTTTTACTTTAGATAAATATAAATTACTAACTGTTTATATTGCTAGCAGGGTCAGGTAGCCCAAAGTGTTTTCCTCAATATAATCAGTTAAGAGTCTTTTCTATGAGGTTAGATATCTTTTGTATGCCTAGAATTTTGATATCATACGAGGTCTGTTCAGAAAGTAATCGAATGATTATTTTTTAACATTATTATTAATTTTATACATTATTGATCTCCTTCAAAGTCTTGGATAGCTTCAATGACCTTTAAAGTCTGTGACAATTTTACTAAAAACGACGTCCTTTCGTCACTGCTTTTAATTTCGGAAATAAGACGAAATCGCAAGGACCCACGTCTGGCGAGAAGGAGGGTGAGAGCGGACAGTAATCTGATTTTTGGTACAACACTGACGAATTGACAAAGTTGAGTGTACAGGCACGAATCATGAGTTGTCTCGCTACAATTGTGGTCTCATTTTGCGGTTTTTTTCACGTAATCGTTGTTGATAGAGCAAGACGGTTCACTGTTTCATCTTGAAGCACGAATTCAAAATGCATAATTCCATTAAAGTCGAAAAAACAGTAAGCATCATTTTGACATTGGATTGAGACAAACTTTTGAGTATCTTTCATCATTTTCTTCGAACGAAACCAAAAAGAGATATAACATTTTTTAAATCAATCTTATTTAGGGCGCTTTTTTGTGTAGAATTTAAATGTGTATGCGTGCTTGGTGCTTTTAAGGACAGATAAATGGCAATCGATTTTTTCTTAAGGACGCCATATTGGATTTTCATTCAGTTAATTTTTCTGATTATGATACCGTGTCTGCCGAAATATCAATTTATTCATTTTTACAAAAACTACTTTAAAAACAAAACATTCAACAATTATTCCAAACAACATAATTATAATAGTTTATTTAAATATTCCAACCCACGTGTTAGACAATATGGCAGTCACTGATTTTATAAGCTAGACAATAATTGTTGGCGCTTGTCATGTGGCCACACGTTCAGTCATTTTTGTCAAATCTAGGTTAGGCTATTTTGCATTTGTGAAGATAACCGCATTGCATCTAGTGATATCGAAGAACATTGTATCGAAAAAAATTAATGATCTATAGAAAGTATCTTCGAAAACGTGGCATCGTCAATCTTGCGCGGCGCGCCTATGAGATTAGGGGGATTGGAAAAAGCCGTCGGCTCACGCCATACGCGTGCTCGGGGTAACTCTATCGATCGAAATTTTGTCAAAAACAGATGTTTAAACTGGCTAGACCATGTGCTTGTATTCAACCCCAGTGTGGGATTCACGCCTACATGTGCGACACCATAAAAATATCACAGCTTGTAATGTTTTTGTTTTCAATATATTATGTGGATTAGTCTGAATGTTCATTAATCTACTTTAAACTTATTTCAAACATCAACCCCGTTTTTGAATTATCAAAATCGGGGCATCAAAGTTGTTTTTTTTTTTAGAATTTCCCGTCATACCTAATATTTTGGAAGAAGTAATATAGAATTATGTTATATACTTACAAATATTGAGTTAATTAGGTATTTTTATTATCACATGAAGTTATACAGGGTGTTTTTGAATGGAGTAGCATAAATAATACCAGTGAATCTACATTTCAAAAGAACACGATCTGCAAAAAATCGCCTTAGTAAAATGTTCACCCCTGAAGAGATATGGGCCATCAAAGTTTCCAAAAAAATTATGAAAATTGGCTGTAATTTGAAAACCGAACGAGGTACAAATAACAAATTTTTTACAGGTTGTTTACTAATACAGATGCGAGTTTTCAACTATTTTTCGAAAATTTTAACCCCTCGAAAGGGGTTGAAATAACCACCCCTCAAGCCATTTTTTGCCATAACTTTTATATTTCGTAAAAACTCGATATCCAAAAATACGCATTAGATAAACTGGTTCTTTTAGAAACTTTTACCTCTCTAGCAATTTTCCTTTAAAACTTTTCGTTTATTAATAAAAAAATAAAATGTATTACCATTCACCTCACACCGTATATGATTGCAATCAATCAAAGAAAAACTAAGTGTGCTGCTGTCATGCCAGTTGTCACAATTAACTCTTCTGTAAGTTGTCACTGTTATCAGCTAAATACTTTTTGGGTGTAAATTAACAAGAATTATGCCAAATTTTACTAATGATGAATATGTGGACATGCTACAAGTGTTTTTTTCTACGATCGTGCAAAATTTACTACTTATTGCACTACCTACTGTGCCAAAAGTTTAACTTTTTTTACAGTAGTACAAAAAAAATATTGATTACAAGTTTAATCTAAGCATATCCATAAGTACCTAACGTCTGACATTGACAATTTGCGCAATTAATTTCCAGTTGTCAGTTAAAATTTTAATATTATGTAAAATACTGTTAAATAAAATTTGAAATAAAAACAATCGTAGAAAAAATGTTGCGTGCAACATGTGCAAAAAGCATATTTGTTGCACTTAACATGATTGCAGCTCTCAACTTCGTCTCGAGCTGCAAACTTCATGCATCGTACAACAAATACACACTCTTTACAGTAGTTGCACAAATAACTGTTTGAATGTCGCAGAAACTTTTATTAAATAGAAGTACAATGAAAACGAAACTAAGAAATAATTTATTATCAAAAAGAGAAAAAACAAAAAACTTAGTTAAAGGACATTTTCAAAATAATTGCCATTTCTTTCTAAACACAACCTAACACGTTTATCAAAGTTGTTACGGACTCGAGCAAAAATTATGGGATTGTTGCGAATCTCATCAGCCGCCGCGAATATTCTTTCCTGTAGCTCTTCAACACTGTCAACTGGGGTCGCATAAACAATACTTTTTATATGTCCCCAAAAGAAAAAATCCATGGGCGTTAGATCGGGAGAACGTGCAGGCCAAGAGATAGGTGCCTCATTGCCGCGACCTATCCAACGATTCGGGTAATTTAA